GTGTGTGTGTGTGTGAGAGAGAGAGTGTGTGTTCCCTTCAGCCCACTTTAATGAGCACAGGTGCTTTGTAAACTATGTTTTCCGACAATATGACGTCAGTGTTGGGGAAGCTACTTTGAAAATACTTTGTCAAACTAAAACCACTAATTTAAGTAGTCTATCCACAGTGTCTAGTGGATATCTATCTAGACATCTAGACATTAATTCATCATATTAAAATGTCATTTAACATTTAGAGACAGCATTATAATTTAAGTACACAATTTTACACAAAATAAAAATAAAACTAATATCACTGAAAATGTGATAAACAGTAGTATTTAAAAATATTTATTTAGCTATGAAAAGGTAAAATGTTGCTCAGAGGCTTGTGGGCAAACTATTAGCAGTTTGTAAAATGTGCGCTCACATTGGCGAAATGTTGTAGGCTAAAAAGGTCTGTTTATTGTCAATAGTAGTGGTTCAACGGATCACAAATCTCACGGTTCGGATCACATTACGGTTTTTGACCCACGGATCGGATCATTTTTCGGATCAGCAAGAAAATAAAAATATTTCAATTTAACAGAGGATTCAGAAGAGGATTCAGCTCGGTGTTCGTGCGCCGTCTGAAACGCGTGCGCGCTTCATGTGTGTGCGTAGAGAACAGCGCACGAGTAATGAATCGAGTTCCCTTTCGCCTTTTCTCTCTGGAATTGTTTAAAATTTGCTTGCTTGTGTAAATACGAACAAATGATAAACTTATACTCTATTATGGTTCAATTTTGCAATTAATCCGCGGATCACATGCGTGCCGAACCGTGGGGCTTTTTCTGTACGGATCACGGATCAACTACGATCCATTTAACCACTAGTCAATAGTCTAGTAATTTATGAAGCACTGATTGCTCAGAAGTCACATTCAAGTCAAACGGCTTTCAGTTTTTCACTACGGCAAATTCGTGTGACCAACTTGAACCCGTTGTGAAATCTGTGTAGGGAAATCTTTCGTCCTCACGCAAAATTGGCTGATGAGTGGATTCCTATCGAAATGACTGGATTCAACCCTCAAAAATATAAACGTAAAATTTAAATTTAAAGTAAATGCGACTACACCTTAAGGCTTCAGAGAACAATTTGACATAGGAAATTGTTGCTACTTGTTGGAAAAAAATTTGGGTAACACTTTATTTTAGGGTCTCTTAACTAGTTGGTTATTAGCATGCATATTACTAGAATATTAGCTATTTATTAGTAGTAATTAAGCACATATTAATGCCGACTTTAATCGACCTTATTCTACATCCCTAATCCTACCCAATACCTAAACTTAATAACTACCTTACTAACTATTAATAAGCAGCAAATTAGGAATTTACTGAGGGAAACGTCATAGTTAATAGTGAATAAGTGTTCCCTATTCTAAAGTGTTACCAAAATTAGCTTGTTAACTATTGTAACACTATTATTAGCATATGGGAGTGAAAATCTTAATACATTTCATGATCCTGCTTCAGAATCACAATAACAGATCGTTTTGAGTTTAGAGTTGATGTAATGAATGACTTGTGGTTCATTTCCAAGATTCACTCCATCTGGTTCAGTCAGTGAATGAGCCGTTAGACCAATTCAAGCCCATAACTTATGAGTTCAAGAAAAGCTTTTTCAGTCTTTTGCATTAAATGGTATCCTAACCCTAGTAGCATCACTACTTACAGCTAATTACTCCCCAACACTGATAATATTTATTTATCTGTATGAACATGTAACTGTATATCTGTGTTCAATCTCTTTTAACACATGAATTCATTATTCCTCCAGGCATCGAGATGTCCTGCATTGTTTTTTTTTGTTTTTTGGGGGGTTTTTTTGAGGATAAAATTGTTTTGTTGCGTTTATGGTGACCGTTATTAATTTGTGCTCTTTCGGCTCTTTCTGTGTCCATCTAACCAATAAACCCCGTCATTCTCTCCTCTGCCATCGTTTTACTTCTCCATCCATCCCTATGGACCCCCTCCCCCCTTTCTGTGCACCCCTCCCTCTCTGCAGGACTTCTGGCAGGTATGGGGCGTGTGCCAAGCTGCATGGGACTGCGTGTGCGTGAACTCTCTCTCTCTCTCTCTCTCTCTCTCTCTCTATCCTTCTTCTTCTTGAGTTGTCAGAGAGGAAATCCACATAAGTTCCCAGATGTGGAGCTCTGGCCAAACAATGCATTAAAAGCCTCTACATTTCATTAAAAATCACTGGCTGAGTAATAAAACTCGGCCAGCCCGGGCCAGATGAGCGGAAGAGCTTTAGCTCAGCAGAAAAGAGATATTTGAATAGTATGACTACAGCAAAGGAGGAGTGACGTTACTGACGGTGCATTTTCCAGGAGAGCAGAGTGGAGAGGCTGACTGGAGCGAATATTAGGCTGGATCAGATAGCACATGGCAGGATGATAGTTGTAGCATCAGGGGTGTTTTCTGTTGCATCCAGCGTCCAAAAAGAAAAATGACTTTAAAAAAAATTAAATGACACCAAACTTTTGAATGGTAGTATATATATATATATATATATAGAGAGAGAGAGAGAGATTTTTCTTAGCATTTTATAACAACTGTTTAAAAAAAGTTGTTTTTTTTGTTTTGTTTACTTATCTTTTAACTTCAGTAGATACCTGCATGTCTTGAAATTGACTCTGTTCATTATAACAAGGCGTACTTCTTGTACATTAAGTTTATTCAGCTAGCTATAAATAAAAGGTCTTGGTGAGAGGACATATTTGACATGTTTGCACAGGCTTGCAGCTGTGTGTCATTTTTGTGGTTCTTATGGCACCAAAGAAAGTTGCAAAATACATAAATGATCTAAAGAAACTGTAAGTGGTGTTACCAGGATGTTGCTATATGTGGGTATTCTGGCCAGTTGCTTTGTGGCCACTTACTAGCCAAAGTCAAAAGAGCCCATCTCCAAGTCTGTATGATATTATTCTGATCTCTAGATATGGCTCAGGTCCATCCTTCATTGTAAGTCTATGGGATTTGTATGCCTTTTTATCATCAGCCAGGCAAAAATTATAAATCAGAATGCTCCTCACAAAGCTGCATAATTTGAGAAATCGTTCATGTTCATAACATAAACAGTTGCACACCAAAGTTTAATATTTAGGTCAGGGAGTTTTATGTTTGCTTAGCAAACACTGCTAATGACTGTTTCAAAATAGCTTCTGCCATTGTTAGATCAAACAGGTAGTTCCAGCCCAAACTCACGCCATTGGTTGAGCCAGAAGTTGACATGTCAAACCACCCCATCAAACGGTGTTTACACACAAAGTCAATGACTTAAACTATCTGCGTATTGAACTGCTGTTTTAACATTGACATTAACATTGACTTCACCTTTAAGGCTTTGTGTTATTGGAAAGTGGGTGGACACACCCAGCCACACATACTGCATGTTTAGACCCATCTAGACAGGAAAACACACATATGCACACATATACACTCACTATGCACCACACCCCAGTTTGTACAAGGCCTGCTCTGCAGTGATAAGGACTTTGAATTGATGTGAATTGATCTGGAACATTCTGCCAGTCCACTCTGTTGGCGCCCACCTATGTTACCCACACACTCAAGGTCTAAGCGTGTGCACATGTGCAGTAGGGTCTGTTATAGTGTTGAGGGAGGCCAGCCGCTGTCTCTCCCTGCTGAATTATTGAGCGTAGAGACTCTCCTTTGTGTGCCGTACAGAGAAAGCAAGAGCGCATGTTTTGTGCATGCATGTGCAAATGCTCATGTGCATGAATAATGCAGTACTAGGGATCAGAGTAGTGAGTCATAGACCTTAGTCAGGGTAGCATCATTTTTTTTATTTCTGACGAGAATGAAAGCGAATGTGAAATTGAATATGGCGTCCACCCTGTTGTTAGACCACTGAAAAAATGGATTTTTCGAAGTTGTAAATAAAACAGAGTATTGATATTTTGCAAGAAAATGCTATTTCAGTCTTTACACTTCAAAGTTTAATTTAATCTGTTACTCTAATAGTCTCTAATAAGTCGACTATATCATGATACCATAATCAGTAATCAATAACAATACCAGTAAATATACGAGTTTCAGTGAAACTGTATATCACAGCAAAAATAATAAACATTCCTTGATTTTAAAAATGGCTTATTAATATAAATATTAACAAATTAAATTAAAAAATGGATTTTTTGAAGTTGTAAATAAAACAGAGTATTGATATTTTGCAAGAAAATGCTATTTCAGTCTTTAAACTTCAAAGTTTAATTTAATCTGTTACTCTAATAGTCTCTAATAAGTCGACTATATCATGATACCATAATCAGTAATCAATAACAATACCAGTAAATATACGAGTTTCAGTGAAACTGTATATCACAGCAAAAATAATAAACATTCCTTGATTTTAAAAATGGCTTATTAATATAAATATTAACAAATTAAATTAGACTAGCATGGAGCCTTTAAATATTTCTCATTTAAGTAAACACTGCTTGAAGTTCTTCAAATAATTAATAATTACATAAACAATTAATAATAAAATAGAACTAAGACACTGAAAAGCAGTTGAGAAAATAAAAACAATACAAAAATTAACAAATTACTATTAAGTTAAAACTATTATTGAAGTAAAAAAAATCAGTTTACAATAGAAATAAAACAACTGAACAAAGATACATATTAGGTGAACTGTTCAAGTAAAAAGTTCTTTAAGTATAAACTATATACGCAAATCTACTAAATTCGACTAAATCATATTATAAAATTGACTGAATTATATTTAACTTAGGTCCCACTTTATTTTAACCTGTCCTTGTTACAGTGCAGTTACACAAATAAATACTGAGTCATATTGATAACATGTACGTACTTGTAGGGTCTGTTGCTTTATGCATAGTTTACTTTTATTACTCTAATATGCACATATAACAAAGACACTTTAAAATAAAGAAGTGTTACTTTAAATTATATTCCTAGTCAAATGTTTAATAAAAGTATTTAAATTATAGTTATGAAAGCAGCGATCTGACAGCACAGAATATTCGCACATGCATGTATTTGGCTATAATGATCTGGTGTTTACAATTTATAAACTAGCTGTTTATAGTTACTAGCCTAACTACTAATTTTTGTTACACCAGTGTTTTCTTGGCAGCTGACTTAACCATTGAATATTCAGCACTCTGGTATTGAATAGAGTTGGTAATCGGTACTATAGACAGAGTAGTATTTATTAGGTTTTATATATGTATATATATATATATATATATATATATAGTCGAGTCTAGAATTTATCTGAATAGTATCAATTCAGTGGCTAACTGAATTGCCTCATTATATAATTATTTAATTTTTGCTATTGCTAAAGCACATAGACAGCCTAGTCACATTGTACCTCTTGCTTTTCTTTGCACTGTTCAAGAAGGACCAATCATCTCTGCTTACTGGACATGGATTTTTAAAAATCATTCCATGAAGATTGCAGGAGAGGATATCCTCAAGCATTCTTGTAATTAATAGACACAATTACTCTATACCCTATAACTGTCGGCAGTAAGATGAAAAATGTCTTGAGATTTGAGATTTCATGTCTTGATATTTTTGTCTCACAGGAAAGATTTATCAAGTAGATCTCACAAAACCTGGCAAGAACATGTCATTTTTTTTTTTACTCTGAAGCAAAAGAAAATACATATGCATAGTTTTTATGACCTTTAAGATTTTTTGGGATTTGGCATTTTCATGATCTCCCCAAACTTCACATTGTTATGTGAAAGAATTTCTTAATGTTATTTGTAACTTATTTATTCATTATGGTGCTGTGGTTGTACTGAGTAATATTTAAAATATATTTATATATAGTATTTTTTTTCTGTTATATAGTTACTGTGATGACAGTTGCATTTAGGTATGAAATTGTCTGTGTTATTTCTTTTACTTTTGATTTTGGGATGAAATGTGACCAGTATCTGATCTCTGACAACTCAAAAAGACGAATGCTCCTCCTCTCTGTCTCTCTCTTTCTGTCTCTCTGATTGAAGTGGCGACCTGTGCCTGTGCTTTAGATCTGTGCATGCCCTGCGCTGAATGCCTGCGACTGAGTGGCTGCAGGACAGGCTGCTAGTGGGATGAGGTAGTGCTGGTGTTTTGTAGCGCCCCCTGTCTGCGCTCGGTGACGCCACAGTTTGCCTTGGATCCAGGAACATATTCTCCCTTCCTTTAAAGGGGTCATGAAATGCATTTTTTGTTATTAATTTCTAGTGTTCTCATTCGCATTCAAGTCTCACAAGTAAACGCCCCATACTATGATTGGCTAACAGTTTCAATTATTAAAATAACAGATGGACACTGCTGTGATGTACACTGAAAACAACATGAGTCTTTTGGGTTAAAAACATATAAATACTAAATATGTAAATATCAAACGGTCTGGAACAGACAAGGCAATATTGGTAAAAACACATTTACTCACAGTTCTGTGTTGCAACATTACTGTTGGATCCACTCTAGTCAGACTGAGCACTGCATCATCCTTTACTTTCAGTCTCTCTGAAAAGGTGGTGCTCAGCCACACTATTATGTCATAAAGTGGCACATTCCAAAATGAGCCGTTTTCTGAGCTTGGTTTCAATAAAAGCTGTTTTTAAACTAACGAGAAATTTTTGAATTTTGAAACTTACAGGATGTTTTTATAGTACATTGACCTGGTATATGTCAAAAGTTCAGTTATATGTCAGTTCATGACCCCTTTAATCTCCGCTCACAGGGCCTAGAACTGCATGAACACCAAGCACACAGCACGAGTTGACTAACTTTGGGTCAAAAGTTGTTACTTTGGACAGTCCTTCAAACCCTACCGCTAGGTACTGTGATGCCACTGTGATCATGTGATGAATGGGTGGGAGGGGGTGGAGCCTGCAATGTGTGAGATGTTGATAGGGCTGCTACAGGTTTGTCACATTTAAAATGTATAGTTCACCCAAAAAAATTAAGATTATATGATCATTTAGTCACCGTCATGTCATTACAAACCTATGGAGCACAAAA